CCCGCTTGTCCTCGCTCGGCTCAAACAGTCCCCGTTTGTTTGGCTCTCACTGCCGGCTGGAGCTGGGGCCGCGTGCCGGGGCCGCCTATGCACAAGGGCCCCTTGTTTGCTGCCGCTCACTGGCCTTCCCCCTCCTCGCTCACCCCTCGCCTGCTGTAGCAATTATCCCAATTAGCCATGCCCCTCCCTGCTGCGGGCTGCACCACAGACCCCCGGTCCTTCCCTCTCCGTGGTGGTGGCATCAGCACTGCTCCGTGCGTGGGGACACCCGATGGGCCACCGCCATGGGGACGTGGGCACCTGGGATGGAGCTGCTTGCTTGGAGTGGGCTATTGCCAAATTCTGGTGTCTGGAGGCTGTGGCTCCCTGTATGCCCTAGTCGGAGGATGAGCATGGCACTGCCTGGTCCTGCAGCTGCCAGCCCTGCAGCGTTGGCTGCCCCACATCGCACTGGTTTCCATCCTGTCCCAACCTCAGGGTCAGGCAGTGTGGGCGCAGCCTGATGCCTTCCTCTGCACCACACACCACAGCCGGCACCTTCCTCCCATAGCTGCTGGCCTCACAACACCTAGGGCAGGCGCATGAAATTTCCACTCGCCGACGCAGGCTGGAGTTGTGGCTTTCCCCAGCCATTCCCATGCATCAAGGCCATCTTCCCCTCCTTAGCCCTGGGATGGTGCTGGGGGTCCTTAAGCAGGAGCACCCCCAGACAGGGCAGGGCATGGCAGAGGATTTATTTCTGCACCCTGGCAATGTGCATCCCCTCTGAATCTGGGCAGACAGACCTCACATTCTCTGCCCATGAGCTCTAGGGTGAGCAGAGCCCCACTGCATGGTGGCAGCGTGGGGGCGAGACCCCCCCAGCAGAACCACACAGCGGTCATGCCAGGACACAGCATTGCAGTGCAGGCATCAGGAGGCAGTGCAATGCTGCTGGGATGGCTCAGAGCACCCCATCTCGTGCTGACAGCAGCCCTGAGCTCCCAGGGTTGGAGCTTGGCGTCTCGAGTCAGCCTGTCTGCTCCCATTTGTGTCTGCTGTGTTTGTGAGCACTGGGCTCACGCAGCCTAGCAGCCCCGTGTTGCTGCAGCCTCCTGCACCACTCAGGGTCCTCCCATGACCCCATCAGCAAAGCCCTGTTCTGCACTTGCCCTCGGGTGTGCACCCAGAGCAGCACTTTCATCCTTGTCGACAGGACTCATCCTCGTCCAGGAATGCTGCAGAGCATCCTGCAGGCTGTGTGGTGCCTGGAGCTCTGCACAGCTTCCCGCACCCCCCAGATCCGTGCATGCCCCTGACACGTAGTGTCAACTCACAATGGTGCAAGTCTGTGCACAGCGCTGCTCTTGGTGGCTCCCCCAGCAGCCAAGTCCCCTTCCAGACTGCAGCTCTCTCTTCCAGCTTTCACTTGGAGCTGGCCCTGGGGTAACGGCTCTGTTCCCTGCACCCTGTGGAAGCACCTAGAGGATGGAAGAAATCAATAAGAGGAAGGAGGCAGTGGAAACCAAGGCCAGGTGATGCCCATCAGCCCTGGAAACCACCTTGTTACTGGAGCACCCCACAGCCATCACTGCCATGCAGGAGGAAGCCCCCTCCTGTGGGAGTCGGGTACTGCCCATTGTGCTGCCGGGGAATTCCCAGCTCCCCAGGCCCCGGCCTGTCCCAGCTCTGCGCATCACTGCACTTTTCCTGTGCTGAGCCCTGTGCTGCAGCTCTGCGTGCTGCACGCTGTGCTCAGCCCTGCTCAAACCACAGCAAAGGCACAGGCACCTGGGGCCCCATGCTCCCCTATAGCCGCGGAGCCGAGCGGGCTGCTGCACACCCACACTGCTCCCACAGGTAAAGCAAAAGCCTCGGGTTCAGCTTCACCCCCAAGTGAGCTGGAAATGCAATGCAGTGCTGTGTGCGCAGGTGCCAGCTGCCCAAGCTGGGCTGGCACGATAGCTGTGCCCACACCCTGCTGGGGACCCAAACAAAGCAAAGCTGGGGACAGCAGAGTCACAGCTGCAATGACACAGTGCATCCCTCCCATACAGCAGTCCAGGCACCAGGGCTGCTACACTGACTCCCAGCAGAAGAGCTGGAAAAACCATAGCACCGCTCCTGAGCCCCAAATGGCTGAGCACACCTGGTCGGCAAGCAGGGAGTTGGGGGGTCACGGTCACCACGGCCAGGAGGGAGGTGATGGCAGTGAGACCCCCTTGCCTCAGTTTCCCTTCATCATGTCCATCTGTCCCATCCTGCCATGGAGCACTGGGAGGCATGGGGGCACAGGGAGGCGTGGTGGATGTGCAGCACCAACGGTGTGATTCAAGCATAAAGATAATGCTCATCACTCCTGGGATCTTGGTGGGGCTTTTGGAACCCACAGAGACTGTGTGTACAGAGTTCAGCGTCCCTGCAGCTCCCGGGTGCATGGCAACACAGGGACGAGCCATGGACATTATGGGAACTTTGCAGATATTCTGAGCACCTCATTTCTCATGTTGGGGGTTGTGTACAGGGTTGGAAGCCCACAAAGAACCACTTCCAACCCCCCTGCAGATGCATTCAAACAGTGCACAAATGGTCAGGGCCTGATGGCCCCCAGCCCACGCACTGCTGCTGCTGCAAAGAGCAACCAGGGCAGAAATAGCAGCTCACAGCAAGAATTCCACCGCCTCCTTGGCCAATGTTCCAACAGCATTCCTTCTTCAGAGCTGTGTTGGCTCACCCTGGGCAAGTACCCGTCTGTGGGAGCCCAGCCCTGACCCTGCACTGCATGGGGCTCACCCTGTGCCATTGCAGCAGCGCCACTTCAGCTGGGTGCAGTTGGGGTCCTATCCTGACCCCACTGCTGCTCAAGACTGCGCAGAAGGAAAGAGACAACCAGGTACCTGGTAGGGCCCAGCTGAGCGCAGCTGCTCTCTGCAAAGCTGGAAGTGAGCTCATTTTTGGGTGCATTATCAGCGTGCTGAGTGATTCACCTGTACACAACCTGGTCATTGCAAGGAGCTGGCTGCATTTTGGAATGAGCTGTTGATGTGTACAAGGCCCAGACAAACAAATTCCGTAAGAAGAGTGGCAGGCAACAAATAGACAGGACATGAATCATCAGCAGGGCAGGTATGCAGGTGGCTGTGGGGACACGATGGAGCACAGCGTGTGCCGGGAGCTCAGTGCTGGGGCAGTGTGCAGCGCCGGGGCTGTTGGCACTTGTCCTGTTGGATGAGCAACAACCCTGTTGGAGCAGATCGCTGAACACACTGTTAATCCAGATGTGCAATACAGTGCTGAGTGTGCGACTGGATCGAGCTGTTGTGGGGTGATGGGGCTGACGGGGAAGAAATGTAAGGTCAGGTTATCTTATGGCATAACCGTGTGTATCTGTGTGGTTGCACCATTGGTGCTACAACTTGCACTACATCTGTAGCATCAAGGTTTGGAAATGATGGATGTATGACACTGGGAAGCAACGGGCACCTTGGCACCAACACACTTTTATTCAGCAGGAAGGATCCCTGATAGCATTTGTGATTGTTTTTAAATAGAGCTGTTGCTTAACTTGCCAAATAGCAGTGTAATAATGCCGCGTGGCTGGGTCAGCACAGGGATGCCACAGGAATTAATAACAGAAAATGGCTCACACTCACTCACTTCCTGCAATTTCCTTTGCTCTGTGAGTTCAGGCAGAACACATTGGTTCTTGCTGTCTGCATCCAAAAGTGCCAGTGGGAAACCAGGCAAAAAATGACATGGAGGACAGGGAAGATCAAAGGGAATCCCTGTTTTGCACCATGAAGATGTGGGACAGCAGCAGCCCCATGCCACATGGGGGTGGTGATCAAAGAGTGGCACTCGAAGGGACAGCAGCAGCAGGGGGACAAAGCTGAAAATGCATAGGCTCTGTTCATGTGAAAGCAGCAGTGTGAAGCACAGTGCCCATTTCTGGTCCCAGCGCAGCCCCAGACTCCACAGCTCAGGGATTTCATTGTGGTGAGTGCTCAGCGGAGTCCTGGTACAGAGATCCCTGGCTGGAAATGGGCACTGCAACTAGGGAGGAGAAGCTCAGAACCAGACAAAATCCTGAGGCCAGCTGGCCAGAAGGAAAAGGCAGAGAGCAAGAGGGTGCCAAAGGTCTGCCCAGCAGTACCCAAAGGAGCACAGTGAGCACCCTGCTCCAAACTGAGGGAGCAGCCCTGCACGCTGCACTCCTGATGCTGAGTTGGGTGCCCAGAGCTGCACAACGTGCTGAGCCCAGCAATGCCCACCTTTAAAGCCATGGCACAGCAAGAGCTCCCAGGAAGCGGAATGATGCTCAGCGGGGCTTGGACCTCAGGTGCGTGTGGGGGTTCATCTGCAGAGCTGGGCAGCAGGTCTGGCAACGGAGCCGTGGGCTGCAGGTGGGCTGCGTGGGGCTGGCCCAGCAGCAGGGCCAGGGGGCAGCGTGCCATCGGCTCAGGACATTGCTCAGCCCGAATCCCGCGTGGCACGCAGCGACATCCCCGTGGGCTGCCTCCCTAACCGCCCCAGCAGAACTGCCCCCACCAGCAGCGCAATGCTGAGTCACCACGCCCCCCCTCCCCCCCTCCCCACGCCGTAGCTGGGGGCGACACGGAGCGGGCGGACCCCCCGGGGGGCAGCGTGTTGGGGAGAGGGAGGGCAGGAAGGAAGCGGGGCCGAGCCCCGGCGGGGGCGGCGGCGTGCGGAGGGGGCGGGCGTGGGGCGGAGGGCGATGCGGCCGCGGGCCCCGCGCTGCCGCTGCTGAGCTAGAGAAATGTGAGCCGGCTGCACCACTGCAGCGGCACTGCGGGCGCCGGGAGCGCGCAGGGAGCGCGGCCGCGCCGCCGGCAGCGCTGAGCCCCGCGGGACGGCGGGGAGGGAACCGGCACCGCGCGGAGCCGCTCGCCTGCACCTGCCGAACACTGCCGAGCCCCCCCTCAGTCCGGCGGCCGCTTGCATCAGCCCTTGGCGGGGCACGGCGCGGCGGCCGGGGGGGCGGCGGGACCGAGGACGGGGGCTGCCCGGCTGCGGGGCTCTGCGGTGCCCCCAGGGCCTTTGTCCGAAGGATCGTCTCTCCCACCAACGCCGGGAGCGGGGAAGCGGCCGGAGGCTGCCGCCGGGCCGTGGGAATCGGGAGGGAGGCGGCGCGGAACCGGCAGCATCCCCGCGGAACCGGAGCCGGAGCCGCATCCCCGCGCCTTTCAGATAACCTTTAGCCGCACCGAGCGGGGCCGGAACGAGGCGCAGGGCCGCACCGGGACCCTGCGTCCGGAGCACCGTCCGCAGAGCCGCAGCCCCGCAGGTAAGGACGGTCGCGGGCCGGGAGCATCACCCTGCGGGCGCGCAGGCGCGCGCGTATGCCGGGGCACATGTATGTGCATGTATGTACGTGTACATGTATGTATGTGCACGTGTGTACGCGTGTATGTGCACATGTGTGCGTGCACAGCTGGGCTGCGGCTGTGGCTGCGGCTTTGCGGGGCTTTGCGCTGGGAGCGGAGCGCAGGAGCAGGGTGTGCGGAGGGCCGGGGAGGACTGGGGGGGGGGGGGGGGGCTGCGTCGCCCCGGGGGTTCGGTGTCGCTGCGGGGCCTGCGCGGAGGGGTGTGACGGCGGACGCTGCCCGGATGGCCGTGCCCGTGCGCTGCTGCGGGTGAGTGCGGGGGCTTCGGGGTGCGGGGCTCCCGGGATGCCCGTGGGGTGCGGGGTGCGGGACGGGATGCTCACAGGACCCCACAGCAGTTCCCCCCCCCCTCCCTCTCCCCGTGTCACCCCTCGAGGTCAGCCGGGCTCCATCCCCAGCAGCTCTCGGGTATCCAAGGCTGAACACGTCGCTGACCCCTCCCCAAGCAGATGCCCACCACCCCCCCCCGGCCCCCTCCGTCAGGCCTGGCAGGGAGCAGGCGTCCTGCTAACAGGATTTGCGGCATGATGGAGGAGAGCACAGCAGAGCGCCTTCGCACTTCCCGGATTGGGGGGGCTGTCACCGCGCTGTCCCAGGCAGAAAATGTCCCCAGGGCGCTGCCCGCCACCCCCTCTGTCCCCAAATCCCGGGCCGAGGGCAGGGAGCGGCGGAGGAGGAGAGGAGGAGGAGGAGGGAACGATGGTAGCAGGGATAGATCAGGAGCGCGCGATAGAGGTAAAAATAGATCCACAGAGCAGAGGAGGGGCTAAACGTGAGCGAGAGCCCTGAGCAGAGGAGGGCCGGCGGGAGCCCCCCCGGGAAGGTGCTGTGTGTGCCGGTCGGGGTGCCGGGGACCCCGCGCTGCGGGGCGCATCTCCCCGGGCAAAGGGCTCTGCGGGGCCTTTCCCAAGAGGGGCCTCGGGGGAAATGTGTGGGGCAGACGGAGGGACCGGTAGGGCCGGTGCTGAGAGAGCGAACCGCGGGATGGAGGCACGCAGCCACCGCCAGCACTGTGCGGGCAGAGCCCCGGGGAGCACAGCAGCCAACATCCTCCTGCTTTTCATTTGCAGTGAGCACAGAGCTGAGCTGGAAGCAGAGGCACCGACACCTCAACGAGGAGGCACGTGGCAGCCCCGGCCCTGGGTGGGATGAGCCCCACGGCCCGTGAGAGCCCGCGGTGACAGCGAGCGGGAGAGCCGGGAAGTCAGCGCTGACGAATCTGCACCAACGCCACGAGGATCCACACGGCGTACACAGGAGCCGAGGCTGGGAGGAGGCGGGCGCCCTCCCCGCGGCGCTGCCAACACTCCAGCCGCGCTTCCCTGCCCCAAATCGTCCCACATTGCCCCGCACCGTGGGCATCCGCTCACCCCTCCCGGTGCGGGGCTGCCACCGAGGCAAAGGGGAGCTGCTGGTGACACCGCCGCTGACAGCGATGTCACACTGACATCCCGCGGGGAGCAGATGCTTTGATCGCCTGCCCGAGCGCATCCTCAAAGGCAGTTTGGGCAGGATGCGGCCGTGAGCAGCGCCTTCCCGCCTGCACCCTGGGGCGCTCAGAACAGGGTGCACAGCGCCCGCACATCCCCCCATCCCCAGGATGCGCTCCCACACCGCCGGCTGCCCACCGTGCTCCTACTCCAGAACAAGACTGAAAGCGCTGCATGCTGCTGGCATGTTGTAGCCTCATGCAGGCGTCCCTCGGAGACCCCAGAGCGGTGGACGGTAATGTGAAAACGATCCTCATGTCGTGTCTGAAAGGGCAACAGGTCATCATTAAAATGGAGGCGATGAAGATCATCCACCCGGAAAAGTTCTCGGAGCTGCAGGCAGCACCTCCACGCTACGCACCCGCGCCGTGCCGGGAGCCGCCCCTGGTGGCCAAACGAGCATGGCCCTCTGAGTCCGAGATCATCGTCAACCAGGCGTGCGGGGACATCCCGGCGTTGGATGCAGCCCCCGCGCCGCTGCCGCTGCCCCGGACTCCCCCTCTGCCGCGGCGCGAGCGCGGGTACCAGAGCCAGCGGAAGGGCAGCTCGGAGGTGTGCTTCCACCGGCAGCCGCCGTCAGACGAGGTGATCGTCAACCAGTACGTGCTGCACCCCTCGACGCCCTGCGAGCCCCTCGAGTGCCCCACCTGCGGCCACATGTACAACTTCACCAACAAGCGGCCGCGCATCCTCTCCTGCCTGCACTCGGTGTGTGAGGAGTGTCTGCAGATCCTCTACGAGTCGTGCCCCAAGTACAAGTTCATCTCCTGCCCCACCTGCAAGCGGGAGACCGTGCTCTTCACCGACTACGGGCTGGCGGCGCTGGCCGTCAACACCAGTATCCTGAACAGACTGCCGGCCGAGGCCCTGGCTGCCAACCCCGTGCAGTGGAGCAGCGACACCGACCGCAGCTGCTACCAGACCTTCCGCCAGTACTGCGGGGCCGCCTGCACCTGCCACATCCGAAATCCGCTGTCTTCCTGCACCATCATGTGAACCCTGTGCCCCGGCCCCAGGAGGGAGAGGACGGCAGCACGTGTGTCAGCAGCGCCCGGCGTGGGATGCTCCGTGCGCGTGGGGATGCGCCGGCCCTCAGCATGGCCACGGACATGGGCTGGCGGTGGGATGCTGCGCCTTGGGACATGGCGCAGAGCCGGTGGCAGCCCCCCAAGCACCCGTGGTACTGGGGAGGGGGATGTGGGAGCACAGCCCGTCCCTGTGCGTCCCCAGCGCTGAGCACCCTCCCCCGGGCTCCTTCTCTCCAGAGCGGACGCTGTCCTGATGGTGGCACTGATCTTGTCGCCCCGTGGCCATGGAGTCCCCAAGGAGATGCGGTGCCCAGAGATGGGCATCAGGACAGCCCCACCACCCCCCTCTCTGTAATTTATTTGCCAAAGCTTTCGTCTCAGAGGCCACGCACCGTGCGCCCGAGTCGCAGCCACACCGAGCAGACACGTGGCCATGCCCTCCGCCAGCCCTTGAGGAAAGCTCCTGTTCATCCTCATTTTGGAGGATTTTTCCCCATCCGTCCCAGGCCGCTACGTGTTCACAAAGGCATTGAGCTGCACCCGTTCCCTGTGGCCCACCCACCCAGGGCTGCGATGGACCCTGTGTCCAGCACATCCTGTGCACGGTCTTGCTTTCCCCAGAGCATCTGGATGGGGAAGTTTGCTGCCAAAAGAGCAAAAAACAAAAACAAAGAAACAAGAAACCTAAAAAAAAAGAAGAAAAAAGAAAAAGAAAAAGCCATAATTTGCAAGTGCTCCCTCAGGGCCGAGCACCGCAGCACCGGGGCAGGAGGCTGAGCCCCAGCACGGCCCCCAGGACACCGGGGCTGGGGGAGCCGGGGGCCCCACTGAGCTGCCCCCTCCCACCCTACATGTCTGGAGCCAGGAGCAGCCCCCAGAGCACAGCACCCACTGGGGATGGGGCTGCGGAGCGGTGGGGCAGGCGATGCCTTGGCACTGCCCTGCTGCCCAGAGCTGAGGGCGCGGGGAACGGGGGCCGATCCCGATTCTGTTCTGCTCTGCCGATGCCTCCCGCCGCTGGTTGTGACAATGACCATGTTTTATACCCGGCCTTGTTCAACCCCACCAGTCTCCCCAATAAAGATTATATTGGAACGAAGGGCAAGCTGGCGTATCGGGCTGTGATGCTGTGGGGCCGTGGGACTGCGTAGCACTGGGACACCGCACCATGTCCCCATGTGCTCTGTGGGGCACTGGTGATGTGGGCGGACCCCAAGGATGGGCTTCCCAGGAGCAGGAGGTGCCGCATCCCCCTCTGGTTCATCCTCTCTCCACCCAATGCCAACCCCACGGGCACTCATGGTGGGACACGGGGGCACCTGGAGCAGCACCGCTGCAAGAGCAGGGCCAGACCAGGGGGTTGGCACAAGGGAGGATGTTCTGCGTGACACCACGTGGCTGCACCCTGAGCAAACAGCACCTGCAGGGAGCCCCTGGTGCCTATCCCAAGCAAGCAGTGGGCTTGCTGCTGGAGAGATGTGCAGCTGGGCCATGCAGCCTAGCACACACTGGTGCATATCCAGCCTCAGTAGTGGGATGGCCTCAACCCCCTCTCCAGCAGAGACACCGCATTGCCCTGAGCAATGCTCGGTTCTCCAGCCCTGGAGAACTCCTCTGGCTGTCCTCCGTGCCCCAAAGGGAGCGAAGCCCCACATGTGCAGCCCTGGGGCAGCTATGCCCTCCAAGCAGGGATTTGCCCTTTTTGTTACGTAAGGATGAAGGGTACAGCGCGTCCTCCCCTCTCTGCGGCACCTCTTGGGCACAGAGCAAATTTAATGCCACTAATTTGATTTTGAGTTGCAATTAAGGAAGAAATGGGGCCTTTCAGGGCTGAGTGCTGGGTGCCAGCATTTCTGCAGACCTATTAACCTCGAACAAGTGCTCACTAGGGCAGGGGCCCAAGCACACTACTAGGGGACAGGACCTAAGTCCCAGCTGTAGGGGGAATTCAGAGCCTGCCAGAGGCCCCCCAGCACCCCAAAAACCTCATCAGGCTCCCAGAGCTGTGACCAGGCAGAGCTATGGGCCTCCAGGTTGTATTTTCCAAGCACGCTGAGTTCCATTGGCTGCAAAAACAAAAGAGAGCTCTGCCCCGTCCTGCCCGAGTTGCACAATGCTGCTGTGCAGCCTGCATGGGGAACCTGGGCACAGGGCAGCCATGGGAGCAGGGAGGAAGCTGCTTGCAACAGCTCCTTCCAAGAGCCTTGCACAACAGAGTGCAACCCCAAGATGCAAAGATAACGGGGTGTGGCACAGAGCCTAAGCAGCTGGGACAGATCCCGGGGCAGCACTGGCCCCACACTGTGGGGCCCAAAAACCCCAGCTCTGAGAACTGACATGCTCAGTGCATGCCTCTGGTGGCATGCAATATGGGTGCTGCCCAGCACGACCCTTCTCACAGCCCCAGTGTCCCCACTGCCACCTGCCAGAAACCCAGGAGAGCTTCAGAGAGAGTTGCCAGGGGAGAGGTGTTGCTGGGTGTGCAGGGATGGGGATGGCCACATCACTGCACTGGGGACACCAGGCACCCCCCTCTTGCCATCAGCTGCAGGGGGCTGTGAAGCATTTGGGGCACAATCGTGTGAGAGGAGCTGGTAGGGCTTAGGGTGGGGGCAGTGGGGTGGGGGCTGGGATGGAGGGGGAGAGGAACTATGGGATACAAGGGGATGATGGGGCAGGTTTAATGTGGGGGGAGGGCTGCAGGGAGATGTGTATGGAAGGGTTCTGGGGGCCACAGGGGGTGTGCATGGGGAGACAGGGCTGTGGGACATAGCACAGCACTGTGCATGTGGGAGCAGCTTGGGGGGGTTGAGCTATGCGCCCCTCTGCAGCCTCCCCAGCCCTCAGCAGACTGCTATCAGTGCTAAATATAACAGTCCTTGTGAACAGACACGGCTGCCACATTCCTGCAGGACAGCCCTGCCTGCACTCTCCAGTGCCGACACCCCATAGCTGGGACCCCATCCCTGGGGGTCTGGGGGGCATTCACCCTCTTCCAGCCCCCAGCCTGGAGAGAGGAGAGCGAATCGCTGGAGGATAGCACTGAGTGTGGTGCTCCCGTGCTGGTCCCCACGGAGCTGCTGTGTTCTGGTTTGCCCCAAAAAAACTGTCCCCTCCACAATGTAATGTAGAGCAGGGACATGTGTCAGGTGTCCCATGTGGTGACAGAGCCCCCCCAGCGAGCCCTCATCTCCCTGCAGGCCCAACAGAGCCAAAAAATGCCCCCAGCTAGGCTAAGCTTGTCCTTCTCCTAATGGAGCTGCTCCACTTTGTATAAATAATTGTCCCTCACTGTGATGGGGGTGTGGGGCAGGGGGGTCTGCTCTTCTGCCTAAGCCATTTTAGGGTGCCCTTCTCCGTCCTGTCTGTCATGAAGCACTGACACAGTGACAGCGCCCTGCAGTCCCCATGGTCACAGCCCTGTGCAGGGACCTGCAGTGCATTTCTAGGGAAGGAGGGCAAAGTGGAGGCACGTGGCTGCTTGCAAAACTCCACAGGGCACAGCGGTGCCAGCCAGGCCTTGTGGAGATGGCAGGGTGCGGACGGAGGGGGGGACAGCATGGGGAAGAAAGGAGGAACGCTGGTGCTGAGGTTCTTCCCAGCCATGCAGGAGGTGCCCAGTGGTACCCAGCAGCACTATGGGCTCCTCTCCCCGTCCCCTGTGTCCTGCCCAGTGCTGCCCACGTGCAGCTGTTGGGAGCACAGTGGTGTTTGCTCTCTAATCTCCAAGTGGGGGGAGGTGAGAGGTGTGAGAAAGGTACCAGCGCCGGCTGGCACCATGCTGTGGGGTGCTGGGAATACAGGTGCCCTCTGCCAGGGGGCTGGAGACCACCGTGTGTCCCCGTCCTCTCCTCAAGGCTCTGTTGAGCCCCCAGGAGCAGTGTGGTGGATGCAGACCCTGCCTTGATGTTCCCTCTCAGAATACAGTAGGACCAGCACTCAGCACCCAGCACCTCCCACCATTCCCATCCCCATCCGGCACCCAGCACCATGCCACCCACCAGGCACCAAACTCAGCTGGACCTCATCGCGGTGCAAACACAATTTGTATTTTCAGTCTGTACTTGGAGGATACCAATCCATCTCTTGCAACCACACACAGCTCAGTTCTGCTCTGCCAGCAGAGCCCCTCCGAGGACATGCCCTCAGTGTGGGCAGGCAGAGCCCAGCTCCTGCCCGTATTCACCATCCCTTTGCAGCCGTGGCATCGCACCATGCTGTGCCCCACAGGACGCAGGCAATGCCTGGCTTTGGGGCCGCCTCACCTGCTCGGGGCTCACCGGCAGCACTGCAGCACTGCAGCTCCCAGGGGCACAACCGCAGCGCTATTTATCGAGGATGAGGAAGAGCAGCACCATCAGGACGATGGGGAGGAAGATGAGCAGCAGGCTGAGCAGCTCGGCCACCAGCAGCAGGGCCAGCAGCAGGAGGTAGCAGCAGCGGCAGCGGCCCTGCAGCCGCCCCAGCGCGCGGATGAGGCCGGCCGGGTAACGCACGCAGGGCAGGCACCCGAACATGCGGCTGGTGTGGAAGCGCACCTGGAAGTGATGCTCCAGGGCGCCGGCCAGGCCCGGGCGGTGAGGCGGGAGCATGGGAGGCCGGGGGTCAGTCAGGGCAGTGGGGGGCCCAGGCTCGGCATGCAGCAGCAGCAGCTCCTCCTGCAGCTTGCAGATCTCCCACTCCAGCATCGGGGTCTTCTGGCGGCAGATGGGGCAGCGCACGCGGCCAAACTCGGCGCCATCGGCCATGTCCATGATGGCGCGCAGGCAGGCGTGGCACAGCCCGTGGTTGCAGTTGAGCAGGGCTGCTTTGTGCCGCTCGTTGTCGTAGGGCTCCGTGCAGATGGGGCACTCGTCCTCGCTGCCCACCGGCGTGCAGCACAGCCCTGGTGCTGTGCTCTCACTGCTCGCCGTCTCGCTGTCCTCGTCTGAGAGGCTCAGGGTGGAGCTGGAGGAGCTCTCCAGGCCGGGTGACCCCTCCGCGGGCAGCGGGCTCTCTTCATGGGGCAGCGCAGGGTCGGGGGCGGTGGGGGGACCCTGACCGTCTGCCAGGGCGGAGCTGCGGCCAGGCGGCTCGTGGCAGCCACGCAGCAGCGATTCTGTCACATCCTCAGCCACCGCCGGGCTCCAGCCGCCCCAGGCCGCGCCGCGTACCTCACTGCAGAGCGGGGATGGCTCCTCGGGGCCCCCCCGCCCCCCGCGTTCATCCCGATGCCCAGCTGGGCCGCTTTCTGCAGCTGTCTGTGTGCATCGGAGGCCGGGCCCCGGCTCCTCGCCTGCCAGCAGCTCCATGGACGAGCTTCAGCCCCACTGCCAGGAGGGCGTCAGGGCAGCGGCACAGGATCCCCTCATCCCTCCGGCACGGCCTGGGGCCGCGTGCCAGGTCAAGCGCTAGAAGCCCTCGCAGCCCGGTGTGTCCCATCAGCCCCGGGGACGGAGCACCCCAACAGAGGCATCACCGGCAGCGTCCGTCCACCGCCTCCTCCTCCCCAGCGCTGCTGCAGCACCGACCCACCGCCGTCCGGAGAAATCCAACGCGGCACGCGATGCCAGGCGCTCCCCGCACGGCGCAGGGCCGCCACCGGCCCAGCTCTCACCGGTCTGGTTTGTCGGCTTCTGGAAGCCGCTCAAATGCAGGCGGCCCGGGGCAGGCGGCCGCGGCCACACCAATCAGCTCCGTGGGAGCCGGGGAGGAGCTGGGACCGCGGCCGCCTCT